GTGTTCCCCACCCTTGGCACCTAAAAGTTTTTTGACTTTCATCCCCCGGAATCCCCAAGCCACCCTGGCTGGCGGGGGAATTCTGGGAGTTGAAGTCCACATATCTTAAAGTTCCCAAGGTTGAGAAACACTGATCTAGATGCTTCAGAGAACCCCAAGGACTCCACAGTTCAACCCTGAGCTACATATATTCCCTTCTATTAATATGAAAGCTGTAATCTAAAATGTTGGTGATCCCCAGGTTGCCTGCTCCTTTCACACTTACCATTTTTTAATCTATTTTTGCATGAGAAATCATTAGTTTGGAACAAATATGCAAATACATTCCAAACTGATACAGCTACCGTGCATTACATATCTGCCCAGCCTGTAATTATCAGCCAAATGCAGCTGTCCAACTAGGTGTTCACAAACCCCCTATTCTTGCAGTTCATACAAGGGCACATTTATCAGACCCTGAAGGAGTACAACCATTGTAATAGTTCACAGGGTTCTTTGAACAAACCATAAGTAAATACACATATACATTGCAGAGAATACACGTAATTCAAGGTTAGCATGTTGTATTGTTAGCTAGGTTTTGTAGTTGCAAATGTCTCATTACCAAACTAGGTAACATTATCATGCAGGAGATAAGGGGAAATGACGTCTCCCTTATCTCCCTTGAATGCTTGGCAAGGGTTGTATATCTCTTTCTATTATGTCAGTTTAGGCACATGCCTGGGTGGGAAAGGACCTGTTGTTGTTATAATGTCCTGCCTTTATTTGGTGCAGCTCAAGGGGGCGTGTATAATGCTCCCATCGTCCCTAAAACAACCACCTTGTGAGTTGGGTTAGGCTGAGAGAATGACTGGCCCAAAGTCACCCAGCTGGCTTTCATGCCTAAGAGAGGCCTAGAACTCATAGTCTCCCATTTTCTAGTCTTAACGTAACCACTACACTAAACTCTTTTTCTCATAGTTGAATTCCCTGGATGGGAATTAACTGCACATGAATGAAATCTTTGGTTATAACTTTTGATGTGTCCAGAGACAGCGTTTAAGCCTATACATCTACTGATCACAGCTTGCTCAAGTGCCACATTTCTAAGAATTCTCTTGCATTTTTTATCTGGCTTGTTCTAAAATTTCTAATGTTTCCCAATTGAAATGATGTCCTAGTTTCCCTGTGTGGAGGGAGATTAGTGACGTAGCACTGTGTCTTTTGACTACGAGCAGAACACATCCATAAGCATCAAGTAGCAGTCCAGATGCTTGATCAGCTGCATTTGACCGGTAGGTTACAAGCTGCGTAAGCCTAGCTTAGAAAAATAGAAATTCAGCTCTTTCGGATATTGCATATAACACTACAACAGCCACTATAGCCTTTTCTCTTTCTACATGCAAGGATTTCTTAATATTATGTAAAAAATACAACCCCTAATCAACCTTATCGGCTCCCCTGCTGTCTATGAGAATTAAGACTTAGTTACCACAACATTTTGTCCTAGTGCAGGCATGACATTTTCAGTCAGGATTATCAGATCAGGATTCAGCCACAGAGATTTTATGTCCCTCTCCCAACTCCTTGCCTCTTTCCCCAAAAAAGTCCTCAGGCCCTTCTCCTCCATTAATGCCTTACTTAAGGACGGGTTTTGAAATAATTTTAATTGCACAAGGTTAATCTGCATTTCTATCATAAAGCATGGTTTGACAACTTGATAAAAAGAAAACTAGTTTAGAATTTACCACACTTAATGCAGTGCAAGAGTAGGGGCAAGTCATGTGCAAACACAGGAGGAGCCGAGAAAAGGCTACTAATCCAATGGCTTTAGTCGGTGAGCAGCAGTATAATAGATGTGCCAAGCCCTACTATGCTTACCCCAATGTTTTGGTTAGCAAACTGTAAATGGCAAAAATACACTAATTCCTCTTGTTTCTAAGAACAATGAACTTACCTGATCAATCATTTTTCGAGCTTCTTCTACTTCTTTATCCTGTGATTCGGTTTCAATAGTATAAGTGCCCGTTTCACTCAAACTATCTTCCTCCTCTTGTTTCCTAGCTTTGGCCACTTTAGGATCAGCAACCGGCGAAGGGATTGTTTCTGGTGCTGATGGGACAATCACTGCCCGTGGGGTGAGTGGTGTTGGCACTGGAGGGGGTTTTTCAGTGTTGAGCTGACTAGCTTGAGAACTCTCCCTTAAACACTCAGCAGCAAAATCTTGAGCTAATTTTGACTTCCTTCCAACACTTCCATGGCTTTTTACAGGTGTTCGTGAAGTGGAGGATGAGGAAGGGCTCATCCGCTCATCTGCCTTCTCCCTCTTGAAGGATCCAGCTCTTGGAGTGGTGAATGCATTGCTTGGCCCTTTGGTCCCTACTGCAGGCTGATGTTGGGAGGGCACAGAGCTTCCCAGTTTCTCAGCAGGCACTGTAATTTTGCGTTTGTCAACCTTCGTCTTCAGGGTGGGATCGATGTCAGTCTGGGTAGAATGGCCACTGTGTGTGAAAGACTGCGATCTCTTCTTCCGAGGCATGTCGTCATCAAAGAACTCAATGACAAAGGCCTGCTGGTTGTGGAGCATTTCCTGGGGATCACGTCGAATTTGGCGTTGGAGTTTGGCTTGCTCTGCTGTATGATCACCGCTAGCTGTCTCTTTCTCTGGTTTAGGTGCTACTTGGTCCTCTGTGTCACTCTGTGTTCCATCTTCATGTCTGTTACCTAAAAAGCAGGGACGCGATCAGATTGTCCTAGGATAGAGCGTACTTCTTTACTAATGTGTCAGTATATCAGTAATGTCCCCCCCCCCACCTTCATTTAGATAGTATTTGTCTATTAAGGGTTACTGATTACATTCACACAGCACTAGGAATTTAAACCATAGTTTTTTATTTAAATATATACATTTTAGGTCTTTGACTTTTTCTTGGTGTACTGTAGCAACTGTGATCCTGATATTATTTTAAAGAGATAAATCAAATGGTTGGTATGAAAGAAGATATATTAAACCTAGGAAACACCTTGTTGACATCTTTTTACTAGAAATCACCTATACTGTAGGAATCCATATGGTGCATAGTTTCCCATGCTTTCCATTTCAGGTTATTTGTTAGGAGTCACCACAAATCCCATGACTATTTGTTAAAATCATGTTCCAACGCATGCTTGGAAACTTTAGTTACAATTAAGCAAGGCCTGCAGGACTTCTTATGCTAGCTCAACCCTTCTCAGAAGGGGAATGAGGTGTTTTTTTTTTTACATGTAGCAAACAAATGTCTCTGATTTTTTTTTTTTTTACATGTAGCAAACAAAAGTCTCAAAGCACAGCTATCAATTCATTTAGTGTAGGTGTTTACCTTTCAGAGTCTTCACATGAACAGGGAGGTCACTTTTGGTACTGTATACATCATCTCCGGGAGACTGCCTTCTAATGAGACTTGGATCATTATGCACCAGCCAATCAGCCACTTTACTCTCCGCAGAGATAATCTCCACATGGCCAGCCTCCTTGCTGAGGTTCCGTCTCTGCCTGAGTGAAAATTTGGTGACGTGGTCTTTTATCTTCATTTTACCTGGGGTGCAATCATCAAACTCAATGGTAAAAGAAGCATGGCTTTGCACAACAGGTAGTACTGCCACATCAACATCTTTGGTGGGTATCTCATGGACTTGCACCTCTGGAGATTTTATTGGCTGATGGAATTCTTTTGTTGGAATTTCAAAGTAGCTAGGTTCCCTTCGGAATGCATAGACAGAATCGCCCTGGGAATCTCTGTAGCCAGTGATGTTACCATTGATTTCTTCTTCATGTTGGACTAAGTCTTTTGCTCTTTCTATAGGGTAAAAGAAAAAAAACTGCGAAGGTGAATGAAGAAAACAGCATAGAGCTGGGAAAGGCATAGCAGCTGCATTGTTGACACTGCACAAAACTCTTCCTTTCATTTTTTAATGTAATATTAGAGCATTGATTCTGAGTTTTCTGTGCTGTAATTTTAATTTTGCAAGCTGTTCCCTGAGCACAATGGTCTACTCATGTAGACACAAACTTTAAAGAAGATTAATATTATTAAGAGAGCATAGTGACTAAGGTGCTGAGCTAGAAACCAAAAGTCTGCAAGTTCTAGCCCCGCCCTCAGAATGAAAGCTGGCTGGGTGAATTTGAGCCAGTCACTCTCTCTCAGCAAAACCAAACCTACCTCAAAGAGTTGTTGTAGGCAAAATAGGAGGTAGGAGCATTAGGTATGTACACTGCCTTGAATTGACAAAAAAATAAAGAGGGGGATAAATCAAATATTCTTATTTATTTATGTCTAATTATGGACAATCACAAGACAAAAACCTCTCATTTATAATTTTTATTGAAAGTTTTAACAACAATAAGAACTAATACAAACTAAAATAGAATGAAAAAGAAGAAAGAAAAAAGGAGAGAAAAAAAGAAAAAACTAAAGGTGCAGAAAGAAAAAAAGGAGAAGAAAAATAGAAGAAAAAAGATATAAAGATATAAAGAAGTGGCTTCTGATCTTCATCACAGCAGTTATAAGTACAATTATATTTTAAACTCTCTCTCTAAAGTTACT